GAATGTCTGGCCTGCATAAATGTTCCTCCCATTTTTGCTTTGTGGTTCTCCAAAAAGGAACATGACCCAAAAATGCAATTAAAAATGCCACAGATTGTATCTGGGACATTCTATACACAGGTAGTCCTTGAGTTACAACTGTTCATTTAATGACTGTTCGAACTTACAGTGGCACTGAAAACAGTAATTGTGATCGTTTTTCACACTTAAGACTGTTGCAGCATTCTCATAGTCATGTGATCAAAATTTGGATGCTTGGCAATTGATCTATATTTATGCAGCGACCTTCTGACCAGCAAAGTAAATGGGAAAGCATATTATTATTATTATTTAAATTTATATACTGCCCTATCTCCCTTACGGGACTCAGGGCGGTGAACAGGCAATAATAAAAATCACAGTAAATATTACATAAAAGCCTGCTCTAAAATATAAAACCCCTAACAAAACCCAATCAAAACTACACCAGGCCAGCCGCATGGAACAGATGAGTTTTCAGGGCTCGGCGGAAGAGGCGCAGGTCCGCAATTGTACGTAGTAACACTTAACAACCGTGTTACTATCTTAACAACTCAGTGATTTATTTTAACAACTGTGGCAAGAAAGGTCATAAAATGAGGCAAAACTCATTTAACAACTTTCTCACTTAGCAACAGAAATTTTGAGTTCAATTTTGGTTGTAAATCGAGGACTACTTATATGTTCTTCTTTCACACATACGTAGTTCACTCATTGAATATTCATACTTAAGACAAAGGAAGGAACAAAGAAAGGGTGGGCTAAACTCCACTTTTCTCACTGGAATTTGAAATAGCTCCTTTTGCTGTGCTTAAAGAACAACTTCAGCAGTAAAATAGCAATGGAAATTTTTTCACTCTTGGGAAAGCTGCACTTGCCAGTTGCTCCAAAATTGCAGACTCATTTGAAACTAGAATGTCCTGTTTGATTCTTGAGCAAGTTTCAGCTACTGTTTCTCAGCGTAGCATAGACTTTCTCCTTGACTTATGAGTATTTGTTTAGTACCATTCAAAGTTACAACAATGCTGAAAAAAGTTACTACCAGTCCTCATACTTAAATCTGTTGCAGTGCCCCTATGGTCACATAATTGTGATTCAGGCTCTTGGCAACTGATGTCTATTTACAACAGCTGAAGCATCATAGAATCTGTGATTGCGATTTACAATCTTTCTAATTGGCTTCTAACCAGTAAAGTCAATAGATGAAGCTAGATTCACTTAACTACAGTGAATTTGTTGAATGACCTTGGCAAAAAAAAGTTGTAACATCAGGTGGAGATCACATGATGACTCAGTTAATGACTGCATCGCTTAGCAACTGAAGTTCCTGTCTCGATTGTGGTAGTTAGTCAGATATATGTATATACTGTATATGATTTTCAATGTGGTTTATAGTATATAGCATTACACACATTCTACCTGTCTCCCCATCACATACTTTTATGATACTGAATCACAACATTCCTTCACATGCCTTTTTTTTTAACCTCTCTTCATTTTCCCCCCCGTTTGGAAAACCTATACTTAGATAAGCCCTATTGTCCATTCAAAGAGTAGAAGATGTAAATGTTTGGTATTTAATATAACAAGGGAGACTGGTTTCCTAAGAAATGCATGCAAGGTGAAGATATTGTTAGTTTTTAGTTTTGAAATTATCTGCTAATACCTGCTTATTGCTTTTTCATCTCAGCTCCAGCTTTGTTTTTGCTTCTTTTAATCTCCTTTGTATTAATCTTTCTACACTCACCTCTTGTATGAAATCAACCATTCATAATTTCAATTGGCATCCATAAACATTTTCTCCTCTTGACCCTTCTTGTCAATAGTTCAGTTGGCACTTTAAAAAACTGGCACTCTTCTTTCACACATTCCATCATTATTGACACTTTCAGTATATTTGCATTAAAATGTTCTGCATTTAATATTCAAAACAAAATACAAGAACTTAATATTACCAAACTCATCTCAGATCTGGCACAGCAGCAGAAAAAAACTATCATAATCATCTTGAGCACTTACTGATTCCCTATTGCAATTTTTTTCTAAATGTTGTGTTAAATTTGTTAATATAAAAGCTCTACCAGGAAAACCTTTGACCATACTTTCCTAGATACTGATGTAAGCAAATCATAAAGAAACATAAGAGACTGAAACAGCGAAGCTAATGATAGTATAGAGGATGGTTACCCAAGATAGATGATATCATCTTATATATAAAATCCTAGATTGGTCTTAAATCTCATTTGATACATGTCTCTGATCTGAGAAAGAAATCATTATCCAACTACAATACATCATCTTTCCAGAATTACTTAGTAAATATTTATGTAGATTATCAGCAGTGATGTTGAGCAAACTAACATTCCCTCTCAACAGAGGAATAACAGGTTTTACTTCCTGTGAAGGGCGTGTCCCTTCGCCCCTTTCCTAGTTAAAATAAAAACTATAAAAAGCGATTTGGATTTTTTTCCCTAAAGTCCATAAATACAAAACCTAACAAATATTTTGAAAACCCTACAAATATAAGATGTAGGTGTTCAATCATGCAGGTTGGCACATGAGAAAAGTTCTAATGAGAAATTGTCCTTTGAAGCAAAGCAGCTAAATCTATAGGAATGAAAAGGAGTTTTCATTTGGGGAATGGAAAATTAAAAGTAAGGATGACAAGAAAGACAGACAAAGAAAATTTGAACAAAATCAGTGAAGTTAGAACAAGTTAGTTAAATATTTCCATAGGTATCAGAATAGACTGTAGGAGGATTCATTGCAGGCTAAAGTTTGAAAAAAAGCATATTAGCCTCCTTCTTAGATATTATTAGATAGACAAATAAACTTCTATTCTTGAGCAATAGTTTCACATTTTAATAGAAACAAAGAAGAATGGAAAATAGTTAATAAAGGAAAATATTTTATCTAATCTGGTTTCTCTGTATAAAGTGCAACATCCTGTATAGCATCACTTAGCTGTATTCTGCTGCAATGTACACTTATAGCTGACCAAAACAGTTTTTAAAAAACACAATTGCCTGGTCAAACTTTTGAGAATTGAGGTCATAATTTCAAAACATCTCTCTCTCAAATAATTTGCTGCCCTTCAGAGGCCTTTTCCTGCCTGCTCTTCAGTCACTGAGATAAACAAGGTGAGAAACTAAGGAACTGTCTTGGGTGCAATTATAGGAATCTGCAAGACTGAAATACTGCAGAGTTAAAGTAATGAAGATGAAGCTTTCTCATTTAAATAGCCTTATGATTCACCAGGCTTCATTAATTCTGATATGTTCCTGCATAATGTTTTCAATGTTTATTATTCATACCAATCCGATTTTATTTTTATTTTTATTTTATTGTATTTTTTTATCATTAGCTTTCCTGGTAATGTCAGCGGAGCAATATATATATATATATATAAAAACATTATTTGTGTGAAAAAGCTTGAAAGCATGGTTTGAGTCTGCCCTCTACTGGAGACATTTTTTTAACTGTAACATGGATCTGTTTTATTTGCTATTGTATACTACCCAGAAGCCCATTCCCATTGTTCTACAATGATATAGCTCCAATCTAAGATTGTATAAATATTTATAAACACTTGTATATTCCTGTCTTAGGATAGCTGATTCACTACAAGAAACATGAAATATATTTATTTCTTGTTCTTCCAATTTTTTTTAAAATGGTTAAATTATACTCTATTTTACTATTATAAAAATGAGATTTATTTATTCAGAACACCATTTACTAGTAAAAATAAGGAAACTATCCCTTTCACAGGGTTATTACTAATTTATAATAGAATGTCAGTAATTAAAATAAAGAATTAAAAATTCCTTTCTTTCTTCCTTACTCTCTAGCTTTTATGAAAATGAAAGAGAACATGGAACATTTGGAAACTTCAGCAGCTGCACAGCTTTCAAATGGTGCTAGATATATGACACATGTAACCCAACTATATGAGCTATACCAGTTGATAGTATGTTTCTGGGTATAGTTCAAGATAGGGTTGACCTCTTTAAAGCCATATATGGCTTGGGATTGGGTTACCTGAGCGACTGTCTTTTTCCAAGAGTCTCTACCAATACAATTCAATCCAGATTAGGCGTGTTGAACATACTGTCAGGCAAAGAGGTTTGAATGGCAGGAACTAGAAGATGGGCCTTCTCTGCTGTAGCTCCTGCTTTGTGAAACTTTCTACCCTTGGAAATTATTATGACCTCCATCCTGCTGGCCTTTTGAAAGACTCTAAAAATTTAACTATGTACCCAGGTCTGGAATGTGTTAAGGGCCCCATTTCTTGTCTTTTCTATTAGTTGGCTAATTATCTTGGCTACTGTATTTATTTTCTTGATGTTTTTACTGTTCTATAGTTTTAAATTGTTTTAACTGTTTTATAATTTTAGAATTGTTAAGTCACTCAGAATCACTTGGTGGATATGGACAGCTATAGAGAATGAATGAATGAATGAATCAATCAAAAACTTTTGCATGCTGCAAAAGAATACCAGACATGTATTAACAACTGTTTTGCAGTTAGCAGAGTGGCATCACTGGAACTGGCAGTGTTAGCAGTGACACTTTCAGAAATACAGAGTGTCTTTTAGTGGCAGGGACAGTATATTTATTAATTTTTTAAAAATGCTGATGTGCTGCACAAGACTTCTTGGCTGGGCACATGCATCCTATTATGTCATGCAAGCATGATCTTACAAACAATTCTAGTAGAATCTTATTTTAATTGCAGCATGAGGTTCTTGTTCTTTTCAAAACCTTGCAAACGGAGTAAATTGGTTAAATATATGTAATTATTTTTATTTATCCACATTTGTAACTTAAGCTTTTTTAGACATCCCAAGAAAAGTAGGTTGCACAGGATCATCTTTGTATACACAGAGGCACATGTAATGAGGTAGGATAAAGGCAAGTTGCAGAGGACAACTGAACTTTTAGCATTTCAAAAAACAACACAATTAGATAAGCCAGAAGTAAAATATCAAAATGTCAAGTGTATATCCCCAATGAATACCTTACAAGCTAGTCTTTGAATGATTCAATAAAAATATGCTGATTTATTTTCTCTTATTCTGGAATAACATATTGATTTTTGAGATTGTTTGTATATTATAGGAACTAAATATAAGAAACCATGACTGGTTTGCAGAAATCTCAGCTTCAAAAGCAGTGCCAAAGAAGGTGCTCTAGCTTCAAAAACATACATTAGTTATAGCCAAATATAAAATATCTAAGTATAATTTTCAAACTATCTTATGCAGCTTATTTTGCACTTAACAATTTACAATGCTTTAAACAAAACATATTGGTAACTAAAAGCAAATCCAAAATACAAACCAATATAATATAGAAATTCTATTTACTCTTATAGTTTATACCAGACTAATGCTTGTGCCATTTTGTTTTAGATCAATTATTTAGTATTTATTTATAGGAGAGAAATGTAAAGTAATATTTGGTGTAGGTAAATTAGTACATAAATTGAATTTCGCTATAATCTAATTCTGTTAATTTAATATTGTAGTAGCTTGCCACTTTCTCAAGAAATCTGATATAGCCAGAATTCAGTTGAGAAAATAGATGTTTTGGAGCATTATTAGGAAAGGAAGTTATCAACCATTCCAATATAGTGAGGTACATTAGCTGAAGTAGAAGTTTTAGTATGCTTATTGCAAATTACTCTTAGTTATAACAAGCAATGATTCTTTTCTGATATGTTATTGCTGTGGATAATATGGCTGTTGTGGATAAGGGTATCCAGGTTGCTGTGGTCCTGGATAAGGAGCTTGTCCAGGATTTTGGTACCCAGGTGATGGTGTATATGGAAGATTGTATTGGCCATACATATAAGGATTATAACCCAACGGCAAAGGCATCTGGCAATATCTGTGAAAACAAAACAAAAAAGCATATTTTATTATAATGAAGAAATTTCCATGCTTTGACTTATCCCAAAAACCTTAGAGGATGCAGAAATAATCTTCATTTCATAAAGCTATTAAATTAAACACTGAACAATCTACACATAAAAGTATCTAATCTAATCATCATGCAAGAACTAGCAAATAAACCTCTATTACCAAACTTAGCAATAAAAGATCCTAACAAATTGTCTTACATTAATCAAAACAATCTGCAGATAGGCAAAATATAATTTAAACATTTTCATATGGATTTTTACAAGTACAAGTAGTCTTCAACTTACAACCATAGTGGAGCTTGCCAATTACAGTTGTGACGGTTGTAAAATAGATCATCACATGGCCAACTTAATTTTTTTGCAGCGGTCATTAAGCAAACCCAAAACAAATTACTATTGGCAATTTTTTTTTGTCAAAAACTGGACACAACATAAATGTTACAAATCATAGTCAAGTGACAGCAGGACACTGCAAACAGACATAAATCCGGAACAGCTGCCGAAAGCCAAAACATCATCATATGACTTTTTGGGGTGAAGGAACACCATTAGAACTTCAGAACCAGGTCATAAGTACCTTTTGGGGATTTGATGTAACTTCAACCAGTCACTTAAGAGTAATTGAGAACTACCTGTACTTTATTTCTGGCTTAGGTCAGCCCTTAAACAAGATATTGTAAATTACTAAGCCAAACATGCAATCACATGAGATCTGCATGCTATATTCTGAATCATTCTCATTTTTTTAACAATACAGATAGTGAGAGGGAAATGTGTCATGGAAAATTAAAAGATATTCTTAGCCTATTATTCATAAGTCATAATTTGCATAAACATTTATGTAAATCATTTTTTGAAATCTAAAATATCATCTAAGATGAACAGCAGATTGAATTGGTGAATTGATAATCACAAATTTCTGAAACTCATGATCACCTCGCTTAATGACCTTGACCCTGCTCTCCTTGATGTAGTTAAATGGCCACATAGGTTATTAAGTGAAGTACAGGATAGTTCAGGAGATGGGGAGGCCATGAGAGGCCTAGTGCAGGCTCAGGCCAAGCCCTGAGTCTCCCAAAATCTTCCTCTCCCACAAGCCTTGGGCCTGCTTTCCATTCCAATTGGGCAAAAACACCTTCCCCATCTCCACTCACTGATAACATCTCCAAAGCTCTCATTAGAGAAGGAGGGCAGGCAGCTCTGCCCCTTGGTGTCCCTGGGCCATGTGGCTTCTTTATGGAAGTGGGCCCCATTTTCAAAGCAGAAAGTCAGAAAATGGTGTCCACTTCTCAGATAGGCCCACACAATCCAGGGACAGAGCACCTGCTCTACTTCCCTAATGTAACCTCTGAACCATTCTAGCCCATAATCAGTAACAGGAGTGGGAAGTAGGCATCTGACCTGGTAGGATGAGAAGCAGATCCAAAGCCTGTGAAGACCCAGCAAAGGGAAAGCAAAGCCAAGATCCAGCAGGATGGAAAAGAGGGAAATAACCTGGGGGGGGAGGGTCTTTGTAACATCCCTACAGTCAGTCATAAGGGTGAATCAGCATGAGGGTAGTAATTTTGAAACCAGATCATAAGTAGCTTTGGGAGCATCTGATCATAACTTCAAAAGGTCACTAAGAAATCAGGCATAAGTTGAACATCACCTGTATTGCTTTAAAACTTTAGAATTCATAGAATCTTAAGAGAAAATATCTGGCAGGAAATATGAAAAAGAATACAGATCATCATCAACTTATGACCACATTTGAATCCAAAATTTCTGTTGCTAAACAAGGCAGTTGTTAAGTGAATTTTTTCTCCATTTTACGACCTTTCTTGCCACAGTTGTTAAGTGAATCATTGCACTTGTTAAATTAATAACAAAGTTGTTAAGTGAATCTGGTTTCCCCATTGACTTTGTTTTTAAAAGGTCACAAAAAGGGGATCACATGACCCTGGCACAGTGCAACTATTATTAATATGAGTCAGCTACCAAGCACCCGAATCTTGATCACGTGACCATGGAAATGCTGCAGCAGTCGGGTGAAAATCAGTCAAAAGTCACTTTTTACAGTGCCGCTGTAACACTGGTCACTAAACAAATTGTTTTAAGTCAAGGACTACTTGTACTGGATTCTTTTTAAGAAATGCTTATCAATGAGCATATTGTGCTACAGGTCCCATTTATTTTCCTCAAAACATTTTTTTTCTCTTCTTATATTTTCCCAGACCAGATTCCACTTTTATTTCTTGGATAATTGGTTGCCATAGGAATTAATCAACTGGCTTATTTCTCAAGCCTGATGTGGTGGGCTGGGAAAGAGTCCCTTTGATAGAACTCACAGTGTTCTGGTGCCTTAACACTAAACCAAACTGGTTCTTTCTTCCAAACTATTATTGGAACTAAAACTAAGTTCAGAAGTGTCTTAATTCTATATGTTAGCAGTCCCAAGTGAACAGATAAGAAATATGATCAGATGTACTGATTCTGCTTTATTGTAAGGCTACATTAACAGAACCTTGCAAGTCTGAAGACACAAATTTCCCAGGTGCCATTTTTAACCACCTGATCAATTAGGGGAAAAGTTTCTTCCACTGACTGTTAATCAACTGGGGGCTCCTCCATCTCTTGTCTCATTATTTCCCAGGCAATGTCTCTACCCCTTGTCCCCCAAGGTCATTCATACATCCCATTACAATATGACATTAATTAGTTCACATCTTTGCAAACTTACCCAGGATATCCTGGATAAGTTGGATAAGGTGGGCCCTGGGCCTGTGAAGGTGCTACATTAGTTGCAGAACCCACAGGAGCAGCTGATATCCCAGTGATTGCTGAACCAGGAGCAGTGACAACAGGTGCTGTAGAAATTGCTGGTGGAGGAGGACGTGCTGGTGGCTGTGGTTTACTAGACTAAACAACAAAATCATATATAATCTAAGATAGAAGTACAGTTCTATTTTTTATATGTTGTATTTATGGCAATCAGTCTTGAAAGTCTGACTAAAAACACAAACAACATTATGTAATTGCCACACAATGAGATAAATTTATTTAAATCAATGCCTTTTAAATATCCAAAAGAAGACTTTCTTAAATTACTTATTTAAATCAAGTTTGCCATAGATGGTCCTTCATCTTTCTTATCTTTCTTATCAAACTAGTAAATCTGACAAAATATATTTATAACTGAGAGCAATGTATAGCACTACAAAATAAATTGTATTAAATTGTAAATACAGTAGCACTACAAAATTATACATAATATTCACAATCTCTATCAAGCTGTTGATATAATGGCAATATTAAGATTATCCATTTCACTGTTTCTGTGTCCTATCAATCATCCTTTCTCTTTTCCTTGGTCCACCTCTGCCATCAACACATAACCAGAGAACAATTTTATGTAGCCTAGAATTTTGTTAGAAAAACCAAAACTCAAATCTCAAAATTATCACTATCAAGAAGACTGGAATAGTTTTCAAGTGCTATTTTGATTAGAGAGAAACGTGGTATTATCTTTCTTTCTTTCTTCTCTCTCTCTCATCTACAGGGCTATGAATAGGTTCTTTTTCATCCATTCTTTGCACTGCAAATTTTTCAGTATACAGTATTCAGTATATAAGGCTGCTGTTTCAATTTACTGAATTTGTTGAAACAGAGAAAGCACAAAACAATAACTTTACTGTTGATTTACTTACTACATTGGTTCGGGGAGCTGGAGTTGGAGTAGAGGATGCAAAGGGTTTGTTTCCCCCGGGGGGAGCAGTCTGATATGCAGGCACGGAAGGAAAAGAAGGAGCACTGGGTTCTCTGGCAATGCTCTGCTGCAAATCTCTTAAAAGAAAAACATAATAAAAATGGAAGTTGAACATGGAGAATTAGAACATTACTTTAGCCTACTATAGAGCACCTGGTGTGTATTTTGTATTGAGATCTTGGTTTTGGTGTCCGAGAGGGAAAACTATAAATTAATATTCACTCCAAGTCATATCCTAATTAAATTCACCTTCATTTAGCCACAGCCTAGCATAATTAGATTTAGGGTCTCACAGAAAAATGTTTTTCTTGGATGAAAAGAGATAGAAAAACAGAACTTTTTAAAGGAATCTTAATAATTCCATAAAATAATATTAAAGCAACTCTCCAGATTTAAAGCATTAGGTCTTGTTTCAAGCACTGCTTTTGCCCATCTAAAAGATGTCTCTGTTTATATTCCCCAACTCTCAAAATGAAATATAGTATAAATAGTAGGCACAATAGAGGGAATGCAGAAGAGGTAAGCTCCATGCTGAATCTACAGAACTAAGCTCCTCAATCTATATTCATAAAATTGATGGCTAACAGTATATATTTTAAGAATGGCAGCATAAGTTATTAAATATAAGCAAACTGGTAAATCACAAAATATGGGTGAAATTGAGTAAAAAATCATGTAATGGCAACACTAATATGTAGTTATTTCAAGATCAGAGATAGGAAAGTTGTGACCTTCCAACTGTTGAGGCTTAGGAATAAACATATACATTGTGTACAAATAATAATAACTAAACAGGGTCACAACTATCCTCAAGATCTGTCAGTACTTGCATACTGTTTAATCAACTTAATTGGATTAATTGCACATCAGTTGCTCTTACCTCTTGAGGCTAACCAAGCAAATATCTGAACTAATTTAGAAAACATTCTATAATTCTATATATTACAAAAACATAAATAGTTATTCTATCAATTAACCAACATCTTGACAATTGTGAAACAGAAGCATTTCCTATTATTTTCCAGCTCAGTTTTTATTGACAAATCTCTATTATGTGAAGGAATTCAGTTTAAGCTTTTTAATTACAAAGCATTCTTTCCTTAAAAGCAGCAGACAGAAACAAGTGTTTTTTACTGTACTTGTAGACGCTTACTTCAGAAGTTCATCTCTTTCTGTTTTGCGTGCAAACACAATGTCACTGCATTTGTTTTGGAATTTCAAAAGGATTTCAGTCAATTCATTATAGAACTAGAATGAAAAAAAATAATGCATATATTCATTCACACACCCCACACGCACATAGATATACATAGATAGAAATTTATTTTAATGACAGGAAAAATATATTAGTGAAAACACCAATGGAAAACATTTTATATAATTGTAGTTTTATCAATCTATGAAATAAATACTTCAATGGAACAAAATACCAAATAAGTCTGCAAAATAATCCATCTGAAAAATAACCAAATAAAATGGTTCAATTGTTTAATTAAAAGGTATTGAAATATGTGTTATATGGAAGCTCTTCTAGATATTACCTCATACCATGCAGAGTGTTTTAAATTTAGTTGGAATTTTAACTGGCCATGATAGACAGAATAAATCATGGTATGTAATATTTGTCATTATCTGAAGTAATAGTTATCTTGAGGTTATTGTAAGCATTTCTCTACATCATTCATTAACAATACTATAATTTTAATAGATACTGAACCATCATATCTTCTTTTTTTAGCTATATTGCATTCCCAAAGAGCCCACATAAAATGAATGTGACTCGGATCCAATGACATAAAAGGAAGAAAAATAAAAGTTTCAGAATAAAACCATAAAAGAAACCCTTTTTATATATTGAAGATCTGCACCATTTTAGGAATTTCTTCAGTGTTAAACAACAAGGAAGAAGGCTGCTAAGGCAAGCCAAAATAAGGAAATGTGGAGTATCTTTTTTAAAAAAAAAAAGTTGATGGAGAAATATGAGCAGAAAGTTGTGGTTTTAGTTTACTATTTTTAGTAATTTGTAGCTTTGTCTTCTTTACTGTGGGTGGCTAAAACTTTCTGGTGTTCATGATTTCTGATTGGCCAGCAATTCTTAAGTGATTTTTAAAAAAGCTACTCTTTGACAAAAGAGAGAGTTAAGAAGATAGAGGAGCAAATTATTAGAGATGTATTTGAAAAATCTTTAAATAAAATCCATCAGTTCATAAATCAGCTATCTATCCAAGGATGTTTAAAAAAATTCTCAAACTACTTCAGAGATGCAAATATGTCTAGAAAGTTGCCAAAGCACTGAGGCAATCTCACAAGTAGCTGACAATGCAGAGGAGTCAATTGCAATTTTGGAATATAAACCTGACACCAATTCTTATTATGATGGTTTAAATATAAACCTCTCAACATAACTGAAAGAAGAGCACCAAGAAAATCTGCAACTTTTAAAAGGACAAGTTTGGGACTTTTTCCTTGTGGACATTAAAAAGGTTGAGAAATCCTTGAGAAAAAGAGAAGCTTATAATTACTTGGCAAACATTCCAGAGAAGAAAAGGGCTATACTCCATGAATACAAGCTGGAAAAAGTGACTTAAACTTAAATGAGTCAATTGGAATTAGGATGGATTTTTATTGGTTCAATATCTGTAATTTAAGTTAAAGTTAAAGAAAAAGATGTACGAGTTTTAAAAAGGATATATATATAATAAGAAAAAAATATTCGATAAGGGTATCTTGAAAGGAGTGATTTTTAATAGTGAATTTTAAAGCATGCATGTTAAATGGAAGTTTAAAAATGATGTATTAGAAATGTTTTTAAAGAAAAGTTTAGTGATTTAAAATGGATGAAAAAAATATTTTCGCTTTAAGATTAAAGAATCTGAAAGAATACAGTGAATTTTGTTAATATAAATGGTGATAGTTTATAAAGATTATAAGTGCAAATAGAAATACATATTTCCACAGCAAGGAAGATAAAGCAGAAATGGTTAAATTGATTGTTTTATTAAAAAAGGAGAACATATTTAATTATGTTTTTTATTTGGATATCACTTCTGGATTTTGTGCTTATAATAAGAAAAAAGGAAACATTGATTTTGGTTTTGTAGATTAGATAGATTTGTTGTTATAGAAATGGCTAGTTATATATTGTGTAGAAGTAATAGGTTGAGGCTGGAATGTTATCTTGTACTGTGCTAAAAAAAATTGGAAATCAACACTTTTTTTCTTTCTTCCCTTGTGCCTCATACTTTCTTTCCCCCTCTCTTTTTCCTTTCCTTAAATACCTATTTTTATTTTTATTTTTATTTGTGTGTGTGTGTGTGTGTGTATATATATATATATATAAGTCATTAAATGAAAAAAAACCAAAAGAAAACATCTTGCAAAGTCTGTAGTTCAAAACTGGTATTCTTGAAATACATGGTCCATACATTCATTCAAGGACTTTTCCAACTCTTTTATTTATTAATTTTTAAAAACCAGAAATAAAACACATCTATTGAGATGTTATTAGTCTTGTGGACTTTTCTGTTACCATACCTTTGTGCCTTCTTTCAAGTTGGCTGTAAGTTCCACAAAGTTGTCATTAGCTATAGCTAAATTCTTCAGAACTTCTTCTCTTAAATTGGATTCATTATTTGACTGCTTCATCTTAGAAAATTCCTGATGAGAATTCTAAACATGACAAAAGGACAAGCAATCAAGTTAACAATATTTTGCTCCCTCAATCTGAACATACAGATTCTCTGTTGGAATAATAATTGAAGATTACAGTCTCGGTAAAAAGCTACATCAGATTATGCTAGATTTTTGCTCTAAAACACTTTTAAATAATTACCTGAATGCTATTGAGCAGCTCCTCCTGTTTTTTCAGGGTCTCCTGTACTTTATGAGTAAGACCACCATAAAGATTATCCAACTCTGTGACAGATATGGCTTCTTCATTTAAAGCACCATCCTGCGCTAGTGCTGTTAGGAATTTAGATGTCATGTCAAAGTTTACTGATTTGAGATCATTCTCAAGTTGTTCTCTCTGCTTTTTTACTTCATCCAGATTAGCTAGCAACGATTTTAGGATATTAACTACCTAATAAAAGGAAATAAATTAGAAATAAAATTAGACATAGTTTTTCATATTAATACTTTTATTACATCAATATTGCTTAAGAATATGACAGCATGTTGAGCCTAAATACAATTCAAATTAAAACCTTGGGAGTTCTTATCTACATCTTAAATGAAACCAAGATTAAAACTGCTGAATTTCAGAAATAGATTTATTCTGCATGAAAACAGAGAATTTTATATGAATATCTGTTGTGCCATCTCTTTCTAAATAGAACTAATTTACATAATTTTTGGAAGTTGTTTAGGTGCTGTTTAGTAACAAGAGAAAATTTCAATGCATGAGCTGTCTATAATACTTTTGTTTGATGATACACAAATAGTTAGTTAAATAAATAACTCATCCTCAAACATGAAAAGCCAACTGTATATATCTTTACCATGAAAATAATGCCTGACTATAATCAGAAGCAATTACAGGATGAAAAACTTGAGTAAACAGAACCAGTGTGATGTCGGGCGACTAGTTTGATGTCTAAGTTCAAGTCCCCATTGTAAGCCTCAAAAGCTTACTGGATGATAGCTTTGGGACAGTCACTTTCTCTCACACCAGTATTACCTCACAGGATTGTTTTTTGGGGGGAGGGGTGGGATGTTACATGTGCAACCCTAAGCAGTTGAATAAAAGGCAAGATATAAAGCTAGTAAATAAAGAACATCTGCATTAGATATTGTGTGTGTGTGTGTGCGCGCGCGCGCGTGTGCATGCATGTGCATTCCTCTAGGTCACTATTGACTCCTGATTACACACTACAAAATCATTATGAGATGCATCTATCAAAGCAGTATTTCTAAACTGTTGTGATATTTAAAATTCATTTTAATAAATCAATCTACTGTAAATCAAACAGTGATAATTATGAACCAACCAGAATATCTAACTACTCACTTGTGAGGTTAATAATACATTAAATATGTGCATGGCTTAGAAACAGAAAAAGGAGCAAGCAAGTGGTGACCCTGCAGAGAGACAACATAGATAAGAGGATCCAGACTGCTGTCTTTTCTTCGGTGGAGTCAATATATAGATATAATAAAAAAAGTCATTGTTTAGGTTATATCCTAGTATGATTAGGGGCGAGGAAAGTATGGTATCCAGTTTGTAAAATGGAATTTTGAAGTGTTTCAGCAGGCCATAGCAGAGTCATCCCATAATATTATCAGACGCTACATTTTGGCTGTCACTCTATGATTTATATTGCTTTCTTTACTATACCTACATAACATATAAGGTATATAGCCTATAGCCTTGCTTTAAACATTTTGCATTCTTTTGGCCAAGAATTGGTGTTGCATATGTCTCCAAATGCTTTGATTTATTATTCAGATTGGAGTTTTCCCACAACAAATGTAACCATTAAAAAATTTCTTTCATACCTCACTCCCTTGTATTGTTTTTGCTGGATTTGCTGATGGAATGGCTGCATTAAGTTCTTGTTCTGATTTACATAACAATGAAATTGTATCTCGATGAGATTGGTACCGTTCCTTAACCTGTTTGTCAGCTTGTACTGCTTTATCCAGTACATTACGGTAATTGGTTCCTTCTATAAAAAAAGCCCAAAGAAAAATCTATAGCTAAAATATGACATCTTACTAATTAGCAATATAAGTGAATTTTTATGCCCTTATCAACTACTTACAAACAAAAAAGCAATATTTTCACAAAGTCTTTTTAGTCAGATAAAAGGAAAAATAGCTACAGCATCTTAAAAACTGATTATTTTCCTTTATCAACTTATAACTTAAGGTAACACCTTCTTTATTTCTTCCTATAAGCCTTTTGATACAAAAATGTTGCTATAATTCACCTGCTAAGGAGGAATAAAACATCCATTTCCAGTTTCTGGGAAACTGGTTATGTGAACTGGTTACCAATACTTTGTTAAATTGGTAGGTTCCATGAATTTGATTGGGCCAGAGTCAGTTGTAGTATATTCTTCCCAGTGTTGAAAAAAACTTTCACATATTCTTGTCGTTGATTTTTAAAGCTTTATTAAATTATGACAGATGTCATCATTTAATAATTATGGATGCCATACTCTACCTTCCACTAGCAATCATTATAAAGAAACAAAGTTTATATTCAGATGCTTGCTCAAAAATTAAAATTCTACACTACAAAAAATGAAATTCCTTCTATCACTTGAACGTGCACAAGAATGGTTATTTGAAATCCAAATTTATTCTGAGACATATAACCCAGGTTCTGGGGGTTGCTCCTATTTTATAAACTGTATCTTTCTTGTCATGAAAATAAAACATTTGAGATAGCATAACAGAACTTGAAACAAACAACTTCACCCTCATTTTTCATCTCAGGACCATAATCATCTCAGGATGATAATCCATATTACCTCCATCCAGTTTATAGAAAAACTAGCCAATAGGATATTAATTTTTAAATAAACATTTTTAAAATCAAATCCCACAAGTTATTGGAAACACAATGTTTTTTAAAAATGTGCTTGTTAAAATACTGAAAAACTATCAAACAGATTAGTATTGAGAAAAATTAGAATGTCGACAATTGGAACCCAATGAAGGTTAAGATATTGAATTCATTTATTCTGAGTTGGTGTTTTGTTTTTTTCAAGACCTATTTACACTTGAATTATAAATAATTCCTGGGAATACTAGCATAAAAATGGGCAATATTTTAAAATTTTCTAAGTTTAAATTAATCATTATATCAACATTAAAATATTGTAATGATCATTTATTAAGGTAGGTCTTTACTGTCTGTCCTTACATTATGAATACTAAAGTGTCAAAATAAATTAATATCTAGCTCCCTGAAATGTAAACAAAAGCATTAGTATCAATTTATTAGATAAACTAATAATCAATATTTTGTAGTGTTAATATCTATCATCTATATGTTGACTCAATATAATCAATTCAGATTGAAACATATCATCTATTAAATTCAAGCCTAATATAAGTTTGTTCCTGTTCTCAGATTGTTGCTTCTACTATGCTCTTTTACCTATCTGCTTCAATGTTGTGGCAATATATTTAGGGATAAAAATCAGCATAGAAAGAGATTCATGCCAATTTCTATGTAGTAAGCAGCCTAGTATAAAGATCAAATACACAATAATATATTACCTGTCCTCAAAGACTTGTATAAATCATTTGATGGTGTTCTTTGCCAACGTTCCTTGAATTTGTTTTTCAAGTCATTGTCTGTTGCTTCTTCTTCATCCAATATCCTTAGTGACTTTCATTGTTTTTAAAAAAAACAATTAAAATAATTTTAGTTCATATTTTAATGTGAAGTTGACAGAATGTTGGCTTAAATTATTTTCCTTTAAGAGTTATGACTTAAGCTAGTGACTTAACAAAGAATTAAACTTAAAACCTAAATAATGTATCTAAATTAAATACCATGCTTTGCAATTATATCAGCCAAGTGTCATTTGAACAATAAAATATCAGTGCTAATACTTCTTAAACTGGTCCTTCTCCTATTATATAAACAATATAAGCAATTCCCGTCAATTAAATTAGAAACATTTAACTAGTAAAATGTGAAAATTTACCTTTTTTACTAAGAAAAAGGCATGTGATTTCTTAATATTGCAATTATTACTGCAAACATACCTCATCAAGAATCTCTCTATTTCTCTGCAATAATTCAGGAAGATCTTTCATCAATTGATCTATTGCTTCAACGCCTCCCTGTTCAATCACTGACTTAGACTTCTGTAGAATAGATTGAGGAACACTATCCCCAGAAACATCTTCAATAGCAGCAGGGAGATTAAGGGATGCTAGCACCCTAGACAAGATCACATTATTTCAGTTTGCCATCTTGCAAGCATTTCACAACAAACATACAGCTTAAACAATTCAAATAGTGCTTTATGCTGATGCTATTTTTTACATCACCAAAAACATTATCAGACAAATTTATTGTTAAGAAATACCTTGTTTTGATTGGGAGTATAAGGAATTCAACTATATACGAAGTTTCAATTACATAGCAATCAAAAAAACCATTGGGAGAGACATTTTAAAAATTGCTTTTCTTATTTGAATTTAAAGTGACATACACAAGAGAAGGAGCAACTATCTGGAGAGGTCTCATTCCCAATTCAATGTCTGAAATTTACTTTTTTACTATGGTATTAATACAGTATATCAACATATATCAACTTCAATAGATCTGTACTGCCAAATACTTTTCTACTAATGCAAAATTTCTCTAGAACCTAGCCAGACATCAAAATAATCATCTCACCCATTTGCCAAATTGGTGCCCTCTCTCATCTGACCTATTGATCTATTAACCAACTCTGCCTTTCTTTGGTTGTAGAAAGCAAGAGCTTGCTGTACTGCCATAGGAACCATCTTCTCAAACAAATCTATAAAGCAAAACACTACAATTAATAAAACCCATTCATATTCTTGCCCTCCCACCATTATTTACCTGAAATTACTATTACTTTATGCTCCCCGTTATCTTTGTTTTTTCAAAACAAGATTCACAAAGAATCAAATATGAACTTGTTAGTAATTTCACTTTTACTTATATCCCAAAACATAAATAAAGAGGTCTGCACTAGTGAACAGCCTCAAGATATTCCCACCTAAAATTTCAAGTGATATAATTTAAAGATTATCTAATTTTATTTTTATACTATGGAATATTTGAAATATGGAAAGTTTAGAATAAATCCAAGGTTTTTTTTAATGTGCATGTCTCAAAACTTACAGTTTCAAGAAGTCTATCCTAATACTTTTAATGTGAAGGCAATGCCACTAAGATATCCCACACATTCCAAGTTAGACATGCAACAGTGATCTTTTATCACCAAGAATGCAAACCTTACATACCTGTTTTCAGAAGACTTGGAGCCTGCTTGATAATATTTGACATTGAGTTTTTAAAACAAAAGGATTACTAAAACTTTGTAGACGACAGCAGATTATAGATTTCATTTGTATATTCTTTGAAGCATAGTTAACATATACTTAAAACTAAATTGGTATTCATTAAGAACATACAAAACACTTCAATAGATAGTTTGAAAACTTTAATATCAAATAATATACTGCTGAATTGATATGGACAATAAAATCAGTCCCCATTTGAAAAATACAAGTAAAAGTAAAACTAATGGGTTGACATTCAAAAGAGACAACACAATTTTAAATTCCAAAATCAGAATGGGATTGCTGAAGTCATGTGTCCAATATTAGAATGCAGTGATAATCACACTTACCTGTAAATTTCTGACTCAGAGGGATAGTAACTGGAGTTGCTTTCACAAGACTGACTTTTCCTATTGGATCAAGATCTTTAAGATCAGGAACTCTGTCATGATAGATGAAGTCATTATCCTTCTTTGCAGCACTAAGTGCACGGTTGATTTTGTCAGACAAGTCTTTAACATTTATATATTCATCGTAACGAGATGTCACTGTTTTTACAAGATCAGCAGCATGCTAAATTAAAAACAAAACAGTCTGAAACTAACAGTTTTATAATAACTGAATGCAATATTTTTGTAATATTTCTACATATGAATATCACTAACCATCAAATTTAAAAGGTGGCTTGCATAATGAGTAGTGCTTTGTACATGAGCTGACATTTAGTTTTTACTCCAGAATTTCCTAGCATATCTGTTTTGTTTTATTGGATTTTATTTTGGTTTTCAAAATGCCAGCTATGGAAAATGGTCAAGTACTTAAGAGCTTTTCTATATAAGCTTCACAATAACAAATTATTCTGATTATTTAATAATCAATTATTACTTGGACATTATATGCCTTTCGCACTGGCAGTAAAATATTCTAACAGGAATTTACCAATTGTAAATGTCCAATTTAAATCTTACCCACTGAATTTAATATATGGGTAATTTATGCTGACAATGCTATACCTCTCTGCCAAACTCCCATAAAATGAGAACAGCACTTCAAAATTTAGCTTCTGAGCATAGGCTGACATTTTTTTATCAATTATAGCAAGATAAAAATATTAGTTTTTGTTAAATACAAATGATGGATAAGTAACAAATCATAAATAATGTTCAATTTAAATGTAGATACAGTATAGTCCAACAGCCATCAAAGCTCTGATCTAATGGCTGATGGTTCCCAAGTCTACTTACTGCAATTTTACCTAGTTGACAGAACTAAAGTTAGCAGCAGACCTGATTAAGGTTCAGATCAAGGCCTGGCTTTTACCAATTACATAGGGTCTTAAAACCTGATTTTGGTCTCAAGCCTGGCGGTTATTATATTTAGAGAATGGGCACTGTGCAGTTGCATTATGTATTTGATGGGTGTTTTTAGTCCAGGCTGTTTCGTTTTTGTTTTTAATTGTGTTAATATAGTAAGTTAGGGTTTTTTTTAAAGCCATCCAAAGTCTGTAAGAATGGGTGACTATAATAAATTTAATAAAAATAAATATCTTCAATTGTCTTAGCATCCCTCAAAGCATTGTGCTTGATCAATCTAACTGGCACAGAAATAGGGAATCCCGATTCGTTTCATCTGATTTTCTTTAAATACTTTATTGTGGAGCTTGAAAAAGCAAAACATTAGACAAAGAACGGTTAGGTTATAAGCATCTACAATATCTGATTAAATTGTGCAGGAAAACCCTAACTTTTCCCTTTATCCAGATATCTTTTGTATCTAGCGCTTTGATGCCTTAAATATTTCATCAGCAGCAGTCTTGGAGGGTAATTTTATAGTATTGTATAATTATATAATATTGTATAGGAGACCAAATCTGTTTTGTGCTATTGTGTAGTTTATTTATTTGTGCCATTCATGTCACTGTTTTGGGGCATCTAAATTTTATATTACCAAGTACAGAGTTTCTCTTGTGTGGCAAAATATTTGTAGTGGTTTTCTGAATGTTCCAAGTGATATTTGAGGAATTAAGTTATTAATGAGTGATACAAATCGTCAGTTTCTGTATCTTACCAATATGTTTTTTGCTCACTTTGGTTTGACTGATAACTGTGGCAAAAAAATATGACTAACAATCAATTCTTCTGTCTAGAAAATCCTTACAGGCACTCTTGAGTCTAGTGGAATATTTAGAATCTTTGTCTGTCCATTTCCAAGTGTCAGCATTTTTCATACAGGATGCTTCCTTTCTATATGTTATCAATTGCCTCTATTAAACAATAATGCTGGTAAAGTTATAAGCTAATCTACATGAGAGGTTCTCAGTAAACAAATTAATATTTTTCTTAGTGCAATTACAATTTGCTGAAGACTATATTATTTCCCTCCTATTAAAAATGTTACTCACCTGCAATCTTGCAATTTCTTCACCAAATTTCTTCTGTTGCTTTGCCAGTACAGATTGATGGTACTCTGCATGGGCCTGCATTATGCAGTGTTTTGCAGCCAGAAGAGGGAACACCTCCTGGAAATAAAAATACTGACCAAGGGAAAAGTCCAACCACATAAACCATCACAGACAACATGGGATGCAGGAAGAAAAGGAAGAAGAACATGACATTAGACACACCCAATTAATGTTTTAGATAAGGCCTGGGAGAGGAAAGATACCAACATGCAGGGATTGTGTTTAGTGGAATTATGAATATTAATCTGTACAGTTAAATTCAGGAAATGTTAATTTGATTTAGAATTTTCCTAAATCATCCCTTCTATCATTCAGGTTAGTTTAGAAAGGATTAAGAATTCAAATATGCAAGGATACTATTACACATTATATTTATGAACCCAAGTAACACAAATTATCTAGAGCTTAGTTTATGTAAATCACCCAGTTAACATTCTTGAGAAAAAATAATGAATTCAGTCCAAAGAGAAATGGAGTCATTAAATAAGCTTAACACATGACTACATATAAAAGAGTAACATGATCCTTATGGTAAAGATATATTAAAAAATTGCTAATTCACATCAGTCAAGATAAGATTGTAGACGTGCCATATAATACAATCTTAATAAAGTTACTGAATTTTTTAAATTACTTTGCTTGCGCAATAACTACTTAAAATGTTATTTGTTTCTATTTGCTATTGTTTTGGAAATACCTGCCCTTCAAGGACATGAAAGTGAAGTACGTATCATCAGAATATCTTTGGCTTGTCTATTCCTATAGTATTGCAAAAGATATCACTAAAAAGAGAAGATATCATATAAATATTAACAAAACTGCCAGCTAATAGTGAAGAAAAAATAGGAGGAACGAGTGAGGATGAGTGTATCTACCAACTCTGCCTTTGGTCCATTTTCAAATAAATCTTTTCCTTTAAACATGCAAATTCATTTGAAACTGGAATTTCTACTGGTATCCTGAAGGTCAATTCTACAATTTAACCCCTAATAGGCTAACTTATTTGTTTATATCCGGCCTTTATTATTTTTATGAATAACTAAGTGTTGTGAACATATCCGACACAACTTCCTCTTCCAATTTCCCAACAACAACCCTGTGAAATGAGTTGGGCTGAGAGAGAGAGCAAAGTTACCCAGCTGGCATTCACAGCTAAGGTGGCACTTGAACTCCTGGTCTCCGGCTTTCTAGCCTGGTGCCTTAACCAGGTACAAGTCTGATTGCTAATAAATCTTACGTTTTGCTTACTTTTGTGGTAAAATAAAATATCATTGAGAATCATTACTTAGTATATTGAAAAGCAAAAGATATTTAAACTGCATAAATATGTCCACAGTTGATCAGCAGTGTAAAGCCATATTATTATTTATTGAATTTATTTGCAGCCCATCTCACCACAAGGTGACTATATTGCAATACTGGTGTATTGTGAAAGTATTAGTGAATTCCTGATGATAATATTTTCAACTGAAATTCAAAGCAGTGCTACTTATAAGCATGTCCCAATAGCTACTTTAAGCAGGAAGATATATATATTCAAGTATATATATAATCCAGGTTTAAACTTGTGCTATTGTTCCTGAGTCTTGCTCTCAGCAGCTATGCTATTATGACATATAACTGCATAAAATAACTTCTCAACCTCCTGATAATTAAGTTTTTTTTAAAAAAATGTTGCCAAATAAAAACCATTCTGATAGCTCACTTTAACTTTTCCAAAATTAAATACAACAATAAATTGTCTTAACCAAGTATTGTATTATGAAAGACTATAGGAAGTATTACAGAAACAAATTTTCTTCACTCTTTCCCAATTGCATCTTTTAAGCCTCAAATCAGCATTTGTGTGTCTCCGAACATCCAAAAATATGATGGGGTGTAATAGAAGAATCAATCTCCTGGTCAATGTCCACAGGATATTCTTATCACTTAAAGACACCATCAATCAAATTAAGTGAGATATACAAAAGTAGCACATATAGAATAAGTATACACTAAATGTTTACATGCAAACATTCATATGGACTCAAGCGTTCAAGCAACTCAGAATGTGAATATAAATATATTCTAAAAAAGTTCATTTGACTTTCTTTCTACATTTGATTAAAAATTAAGAGGTATTGGGAATTTTGTATTCGTTTCACATACTGAAATTCAAAATTAACTGCAACTCTTCATCTCATTCCACAAGCCAAATGTCAAGCAAGGATTACAAAATATTTGAAATGTCACTGATAGCTTCAAGTCAGTAACTCAACATGTATCATATTTGTACTCCTTTCTGCTGTCCCCAATATAAAATTACCAACCTTGGGTAAGGTTTCCTTGTACTGGCACTGTTTGAATGCATCACCATAGTAATCAGCAGCTTGGTTTGCAAGTTTAGCAATGATGGCATCTTTCATTTTATCTAAATAAAAAAGAACCAGTGTCAGTTTTGAAAAATTGAGCAGTATTTTTCTATTTGCAAAATCAGTGAACTACATACTGTCACCAGAATTTAAAGTTCTCCGTTATTTTTATAAATCAAACAGCAACAAGATAGAACTATATACAATATTATTTTAAAAATAATACTTAGATTTTAGTTGAAAATAAGACTTCCAGAAAATGCATAAAGCTGAATCATTTCTTAAAAACGTCCCTCAAATAATAAATTATTGAATGAAGCTCAAGGAATAGAGATTTCCCTTCTATGAAGCAATCTTAATAATAAAGTTCTTTCAAGATTTGCAAACTTTTAATTTTTGCATTGCTTTGAACCACATACTTTAAATTAATGCATTCAAATAATACATAAGAGTATGAATTCTGAATTGCAGTATAGGAATATCAAATTATATCACAAGTGATGTATCTTTTGTGTTAGACACTGACATTTGATGCTCCATAAAAATAGTTTTTAAAATGTACCAGCCTTAATGTTATTTTATATATTTACATACAGACAAAAACAGAGAAAGTAACTTTATTCAAATGACTAATTCTAAAATATGTTTCTGTTATATTGGCTTTGTCCTCAGAGTTCACAAAATATATTCTAGCATTTCTACTGTTATTAAGTACTTAATAATATTTTTTTAAAAGTTAGCTACAACACAAGAGCCAGTTTGGTCTAGTGCAGGGGTAGGCAACCTTGGCTCTTTTATGACTCGTGGACTTCAACTCCCAGAATTCCTGAGCCAGCATAGGAATTCTGGGAGTTGAAGTCCACGAGTCATAAAAGAGCCAAGGTTGCCTACCCCTGGTCTAGTGGTTAAGGCATCAGACTAGAAAGTGCCTCAGCCATAAAAGGCAGCTGGGTGATTTTGGGCCACTCACTTTGTCTCAGTTCAATTTACCTCACAAGATAGTTGTGGTGGACAAAGGAAAATATATTGGATATGTTCTCTGCCTTGAGCTTTTGTGACAATAATAAAGGCAGGATACAAATAAATGTCTATTATATATTTTTTAAAATGCATTTCATGCAGCAGACTAGGTTTTCATATTATTGATAAACAAAGGGTAACAACTATAAAAGCAAAGATTTTAGATATAATTGAATATAGAAGCAAGAATGTATCACCTGATGGCCATCCATAAATGCATAGTATGCTAAGTTAATCATATACAATACTGATGCATATCCGTATTATCTATATTATTAAAATTTTAAAAATCATTTAAATTATTTCCATTTTAATGTTGACTTTTCTATTTTTAAATGTTTCTTTTTATATGTTTATTGACTATTGTATGTCACCCAGTACCTTACAAATTAGATAGGCAACTATATAAATTTATAAATCAATAAACTACACTTGAAAATGTTGATTGCCAATTTAAGAAATGGTGTTATCAGGTATTTTTATGTGGATAGGTACAATTTATCCATATGAAAATGTTGTATGGAAATAAAGTATTTTTTTATAAAAAATATTTTATGTAGATAAAAATAAATCCTATACATTGGTCAAGGACAGTAAGTGAATTTGTTACGGTGGTAGATTGGCTGTTATGTCCAGCCTTAACTACAGTATAATTGTTGTTTGTTATCTTGGTTTTATATTCTATATTCTATATTTATATTTAATTGTTACTGATATATACTAACTAAAGTAGTAAGAAACAGGTGGTCTTTAAATAAATGCATAAATACAAATTCTTCAAATTATCATATGATATTTTAGCTTCAACTTTTAAATTAAATTTTCTATCATTCAATATAAATTGAAAGTGCTCACTTCAAATTTTAAATTGAAAATATTTCCAATTTAAATAAATATACTAATACTCCCAATGATTTTAATTTCTGGTAAAAATAAGGTTATAAAATCTATATATTTCCATTTTATATCACATACCTCTGGTAGCTTTCAGAAAAAAGACTTCTTGACCTTGAGCCAGCATGATAAGGCTTAGCGTGCCAACTGTATCTGGAGAAATGTCAACTGTAGGTTCTCGATTTAATGAAGAGAGGACGGTATCTTTAATGTGCTGGAAGGCACCACTACCAAACTTGAGAAAATAATATGTTTTATTATACAAGCATGCTAATTAATATATTGAAAAACACTACAAAATAGGCATTCCATTTAAGGTACTGTTTCTATTGCATTTAGTTTAATTGGATGCCTGAGAAAGACTTAGGCTACTGTAAAAAGTTCTTATTGCATTTCTACATCTAAGTCTGTTGGAACCTTATTGATATCTATACAACTTAAGTTAGCTGAGAAAAGGAAGTGGTTAGAAGCCTTAGATAATGAAAATATTCCTTGACTTGTAATAAAAAATTTAGGCAATATACATCTACATAACAGGAAAGTCAATCTTTTCAAATTGACGGTAATTTGGAATTTTGAGAACATATTGTTGATGCTCTTTTAAAATGGCTACTAAGGGTCTGTCAACTCACAAAATAATTATCATTAGAATATAACTATTCATATAGCACTGTTGTATTAGAATACAATATTGCAATTCTTTTATTATTCCTATTACCTGTTTAACATTCCTTATTAACCCTTCTAGCCTAAATTGTTTCAATGCAAGGGGCACAATTCCAAATTGAGCATGTAAACAAAAAAAGATTTAATGATGCCCACAGAAATTTTCAGAAATGTAAATTAACTTGAAGACTGGTGCTTTCCTTTGTGACATGCCAACTTTATTTTAATACTAGCTGTACCCGGCCACGCGTTGCTGTGGCTCAGTCTGGTTAAATGGAAAAGAAAGAAAAGAGAAAGCGCACGTTTGTAATATGTTTAATTTCACAATGCTTGTGGGTATACAATATTTTTTGTTGTTCCATTGTCTGTGCAGATATAGAGATTGTCTGGTTTGCCGACTCTAGAACACGCAACATAATTGTCCAAGCATGTTTTTACCT